CGCACGAGCCCTCCACGTCGCGGCTGACGCTGCCGGGCTCGCGGCACGGGGACAGGTCCTGCATCCCGCGCGGGGTACGGAATCCTGCGGACGACGAGGCTAGCGCCGCGGGCTGCTCCTTTTTCCCACGGGATTCAGAAGTCCCCCCCCGCTCCCTACGGGAGCTGCGGGGCCGGGCTGAGCGGGAGGCGCGAGTCCTGCCCACGGCGCCGGGGCTGGAGCTTTTATCCGCGGCGGCAGCATCCCGGCAGTGATGCACGGCACGGGAATGAGCGGCTGAGCTCCGAGCGCCGCTTCCCAGCCTGGCTCCTTCGCCGGCACCCGCTGCGGGACTCACCGGGGGCAATTAGCACGCGCCGTGGCCATTAACTAATCAGGCCTGCCACCGGCCGTGCTCGAAGATGCCACGAGTTACGTCAGGTCGCTGTGATGGGAGGTGAGGATCGCTGGGATGCCGCGATGCTGAGTGATGTGCCCGGGAGGAGCCCGTGGCCACGCTCCCCCTTGCCAGCGCGAGGAGCTGGGATTGGCCGTGGTTCTCCAATGCGTTGGAAGGAAACAATGAGAAATCCATCATGGGAAACAAGGAGCTTCCTGCCAAGATGGTGAAACTCTGCTTTCAATAAGGAATGCTGAGTTTTTCAGGAGATCATCTCAACTCAGCTGTGCTGACCAGCTCTGTACTGGGACCCTGCATGTTTCCACTGGGCTCCATGGAGCTCTCTGAGCTCTCAACCGCAGCTGCAATTTGATGCAGTGATAAACTGCCCGGGGGGAGGAGAGTTTCTTACTCCCTCTTCATGCTTCACTCCATGTTTTGTGCCACTTATTTGGTTTTCAGGGGATTGCCTCAATTGCCTCCTCTTGCCTGCTCCCCTGCCCAGCCTGGATGATTTAGGACCTTCCCCATTTCCCCCCAGCTCCCACAAAAAATCGACCATCCAGCACCCACACGGAGCCTGCGGAGGGGATGCATTTTATGCTTTTTAGCATAAAATCCAGTCCCAAGTGTGCAGCATCCTGGGCAAGCGAGCAGCAATGGCACCGAAAGCCCTTTTACACCTCACGCACCGAGCAGCGATGACCGGAGCAATTAACCCAACCTCGGTAATGAACCGTTTCAAGCCGTGTCAAGGACCGTGTTGCCTCCCGATGCTCGTGGGTGACTCAGCCTCCAAGCAGCTGCTCCTCTTYGCGTTTCTGTGGATGGCCAAGGCATTTTTTACGCGCTGGCCAAATATCTTGGGCAGCAGCCCCAGGCTGCAGCCGCACGCGGTGTTTCCCTGGGCCGGTCACTGCGCAAGGAATCTCCTAAGGGATGTGCAGAGGTTCGTCCCACGACGGCCGGGATTGAATCACCTGGAAAAGCACGAGCAGAATCCAGGGCGCTCCAAATGGCTTCGCTGCCATTGGGATAATTTATTCCTCTGCTTCAGGCAAGCTCTAACTGGCAGGAAGCCTTGTGCAAAATGAAGGAACAGACCTTGCCATTTGCTAAGGGGATGCTGGAGTTTTTGAGCCTTAACACAGTTCCTAAATTATGCTCTTTGCACGTAAATTGGATTTTCACACTAGAAAAGATGCTTCGGAGTCACTTTRCCTCCCAAGAGATTTATAAACTGCRAAGTSCAACTATGTCACTTCTCACCCCTTAAAATTTGCCCMAAATTATTATGATTCCAGATGAAAGGAGCTTAATCCTCCCAATTGAAATTGCATCTTCACATCTTTCACTGACTCCCTCATTCCCTGCTCCCTCTCTMTAAGATGCCTCCACCTGATAAGATGCCTGCCTCCCTAATGAGGATGCTGAGGCTGATAATCCATCAGACCTCTCAAGGAGGCTGTGTTGGAGCCCAGCAAATTCACTGGGAAAACTTCTAGTAACACAGAAGCTTTTGGAGCAGCATCAGGACYGCCGTGAGGGCCGACTCTGTGCTTCTTCAAAGCAAAAAGTGGTGAGACCAGCCTGGGATGGCTTTGCTTGCTGCTCTCCTCCAGTGCTGTCATCTGCACCACGATGGATAACAGAAAATACTTATTAACTAGCAACTAAGCAAATTCTAAAGAAAAAGTCCCAGATCAGAGACACAGTCAGAAAAAAAACAAATAAAAAGAAGAAATGAATGAACRTATTCCAGAAGTCTGCGAAGTCAAACTAACTTTTATTGCCCTTTGTGACTACTTGGAGATTAAAGCGAGAAGGTGGAATCGGGTGCAGCGGCAGCATCGCACATCCCGTGCGCCCAGAGGGAAAGCAGCAGGACTAAGGCCTGTTGAGTGGCAGCGAAGCCAGAAGCACGTTGCAGGAAAGCAAGAAAGACAAGGGGAGCCTCTAAGCAAGGGCAGATCCACATGCACCGGTGGCAGGAGGGCACCGAGCGGCATCAGCAGCAGCTGCTGCTGCTGCCTCCGCCGCAGCAGCTGCTGTTGTTGTTGCTGCTCACGGTGTAGCAGCAGGTCTGGATGGGCACGCAGCAGCTCTGCACGGGCACGCAGCAGGTCTGCGGGCAGCATCAGCAGCAGCTGCTGCTGCTGCCTCCGCCGCAGCAGCTGCTGTTGTTGTTGCTGCTCACGGTGTAGCAGCAGGTCTGGATGGGCACGCAGCAGCTCTGCACGGGCACGCAGCAGGTCTGCGGGCAGCAGGTCTGCGGGCAGCAGTACTGCGAGGGCGTGCAGCACGGCGTCTTGCAGGACGACTTGCTGCCGTAGCAGCACACGGTGTAGCTGTTGCCGCCGCCGCAGCAGCTGCTGTTGCTACCAGAGCAGCATCCGGACATGGTGGCTGGAGCGGAGGCAAAGCTGGAAGGGACAGAAATGGCCTGGATGTAACTGAGAGCGTGATAATACATTCGGAAATGCAGAATTCCACCAAGGCTGTGCTTAGGCTAAATTAAATATTCAAGGATTTAACACCCAATGCTCACAGGTTTCAGGGTAAATCATGCTCGTTACACTTCTCTCTGTCTATTTCCCTGCAGTGGGGATGCCCAGCGATCCACACTTGCACCAGGGCATCCCAATTGCCTTAGCAAGAAGCACAGCAGAGCATACAGAATCTCGGCTCTCTTCCGAGATGTCTCCGGTCCCCTCCTGCATGGCCCATTGACATCCCTGGAGCCTCTCCAACCTCTTACACTTCTAGCTYGGTCCCAATCCGAAGCTCATAGAAGCCGGGCTGGAGCCAAAGTCCCAGTCCAGATACACAGTTATATTCTGGATCTTGTTATAAAGCATCTCTATCGTTTTCATTCCGTGAGAAGATGTAGACGTTCTCACTTACCCCGTGGACCGGTGAGGACAGGAGAAGGGAAGCGAAGGCGAGYGAATGAAGTGCGCTGGGTCGCGAGCCCTTTTATAGCCCTGAACACCTTCCTCCTGGAAGTGAGACAGCCATGGACCATTCCAACTTCCCTGTTTATTCACCTAAATCCATACTTCGTAGCTTTACGTGGCTTCTGGTATTCATACTTTGCCTTATTATTTGTGCTCGCCACCTTTGTTTCACCTCATAATTATTTAGCCTGCAGATAATCAAAGGGCTTCTATGAATGCTAATTAATTTGTCCTCTCTGCAACCTTGCAGGGAGCCAAAAATGCATCCTTGTATCTGCTTGGAAAAGGCAGATGCTAAAGGGTCTTACTCAGAGGCAGATGGTGCTGAATCAGTGGYAAGAGCCAAGGCTACAACTCGTGGCCTGCATCTGCGATGCACGTGAGGGGTTGCTTCACTGGGCTGGTGTTTGAGATAAATATTTAGAGGATTTCATGAAAACAGGTATGCTCATTCGCCGTCACACGACGTGTGCGTGAGGACGGAGCAGTAGTGCCACGAGCCTAGGATGTGATGACACTCGTGACAGGTCCTGAGGCTCGACCTCAGGGAACTTTGTGACAGACAGAGCTGGGGGTACCTTTGGGCTGTCCTTGGGAACCCCTAGACATCTGCAGATCCTTCAGCCTGGGTGGTTCGGATCCTTGAGTGACCCCAACCAACACAGGCCAAGAGCACTTCAGTTCTGCTTTGCTTTGCTGGGACTTCTTCCCTAGGAATATTTTCTCAGCCTCTGCTAAGAGTCGTCTCAACAAGCAATTACAAAGTCAAGGGGCAGCATTCCCTGTGCAAATGGCCTTGCAAGCAGGCAGCGCTCCAGGGCCGGGCGCGATGCTTTGCAAGCGCAACGTCCCTCCCGCCTCCTCTCCTGGCGTTCAGCAAAGCTCCCATGCCAGAGCGCGGGCTCTGCACCGCGACTTGCGGGGCAGCCTGGTGCAGGAGCACGGAGGGAAAGCGTGCAGGGCTCTTTGGGGCCCTGGGAAGCCRTAAATGAAGCAGTGAGAGGAAATGAGCCCCGTCTGCGGCCAGGGAGCTAAGTGGGAGACTTGAAGAAGAAGCGATGTAGGGAGAGATGTTGCTGAGCTGGAAAATTTCTCCTGGAGGGGGAGAAGGACACGGCAAGGCAGGGCCTTGGGAAGCGGAGCCAGGGTGGATGAAGGCTCATTTGACACCCCTCTCTGCCCTGAATGCACGTTGCTGTGGGGCTGAAGGATGGCAGGAGGAYGGGGTGTTTGGGAGGATTTTTTTTCCACGGCCTAAAATTGCGACTCTTGCTTGAAGAGCTGGCAACAGTGCCCTGAGACAAGTGCTGCCTAACGAGAGCTGCTGGATCCTGCCCGGCAAGTTCACTGCCTGCTGTYGGACGCTCTGCCACATCCTGAAACCGGCTGAGCCGCTGTGGGCTGCTACCAGACCCCAGGGACACAAGCTGGGAGCCTGGGAGCTCTGTGCAAGCTGCGGGGGAACATGTGGATGCCTTCCCTTTAATGCCATATTATTCCTGTGATAAAACCAGGCAGCTCCTTTCCAGGCTTCCCTGGAAGGAGAGTAATTCCTCTAGTAAAATGATATAGAAACAAAACATGCAATGGAAGCTTCTCCAAGGAAGGTGGAAGAGCGTCCATGGAATTTTCTTTGGAGCAGGTACATCCTGCCCGTGGTCTGATGTCCAGCCCTGCATGCACCGAGGTACTCAGGTGGTCTTTGGCAAGTGGGCTGCAGATCCCAACAGAGAGCAGGAACTGAAAGTGTTTGCAAGAGTCAAGAAAGGAGGAGGACTGTGGTACGGATCTTGAACTCTGTTCTTTGCTACAGGCTCAAACATGGGCTCTTATTGACCCTATCATTGCTCGAAGATGGTGGAGGCTTCTCAGCTCAAAATCCAGACATTTTTGCAGGGCCAAGACCTCCTTCTGTGTGTTCAACTATGTATAAGGACACTTCATGTGTTCTGAACAAGACCCTGAGCTGATGGAAATACTAAGAGCTTTCCTAGTCGCGATGTGCTTGTGTCACCACAGCCTTCTAGAAATTCCAGAAAATTCAAGCCCTTTATGTGTTCTTACAGATTTTTTTCCCCCTATTTGTTTGTAGTTTTACTGTGAAAGCCAAAATTCTGGTCACATAGATACCAGCTGTTAAGCTCGGTTTTGATTGGAGCTATGGATAAGCTCAGAGATCCATCGCGGGGCGTGGATTTTTCTTGTGAGCCTCCTGGCTGGGAGAATGTCCATCGCCAGAAGGAAAAAGGGGTTAAAGTGTGGTAGGCCTGGTGAGGCACTGGGGAAGCACCTGACAAAAAGCAAATAACCACCATGAGTTCTGCAGGATCATGAACACCAGATTTTATTGTTTTTCAGACAGATTGAAGCCAAAGAACCGCTACCCAAAGAGGAAAATCAAGAGCAGTCTGACAAAGGAGCATCTTGCACTGTGGAGTGGCGGCAACGTCAGAAGCGCGTTACAAGAAAGCAAGAGAGMAAAGGAGAGCCTCTAAGCGAGGATGGAGGAGAGCCGGTCAGGTCCACGTGTGCAGCAGGCGGAGGGCACCGAGCGGCACCATCAGCAGCCACAGCAGCTGCTGCTGCTGTTGTTGTTGCTCACGGTGTAGCAGCAGGTCTGGATGGGCACGCAG